CTTGTAATCCCAGCACTTGGTAGGCAGAGCTAGGTAAGTCTCTGTGTGTTCAGGGATACAGCTAGTATTGGATACACATGCCTTTAATCTCAATACCAATAAATAGAAGACCTGGAGATCTATACAGACAGGCCGTGACGAGGCAGTCGTGTGGTTGGGTTTACAACCAATGAGAAGGCAGAACAGAAACACTATAAAATGACAGACACACAGGAAGTAGCTCTGGTTCAGAGAGGTAGGACCACCTCAGGAGGAAGGGTAAGGTTTTAGCTCTTAGCTCTGACCTCTTGGCTTTCTTCTTTGCATTGGTTCTGTGTTTCTTATTTAATAAGACAGTTGGTTACATCTACACTCCACCAACTGAGAGAAAGCCCCAGCGCAGGGAAATTCTCTTAGATTTAGTCCTCTTTGATCCAAGTGACCAGGTAAGGTCTCAGGAGAGGTGGGTGAGGGGCAGAAGGGACGAGAACCCCTTTCTGATACGGGGGCGTTAGTATCCAACTGACTACACACATTTCTGAAGCCTCATTCACTTAGTTATTCACTGGCTCAACCAAAGTTTCCTGAGCATCTGCTTTGTGACTGGGCTCACACTCTGGTCTCAGTGGGAACTAAACCCCACTAGCTCCACAGGGAAGGCATGCATGATATAGGCATCTGGGAAGCATGGAAGAAAGTCCCTAATCCAGCACAGAGCAAGGGCGAGTCAAGGGGGGCCTTCTGGAGCAGCATCTAAATTGAGTCTTAAGGAATGAGAAGTCAGATGCGTGCCAGTTTTCCGATATTGTAGAGAAAATTCCACCTGACCAATGTCAGAGGCAGGCAACAGCTTTGTATGCAAGAGATGTCAAGCCCTTTGGAGCTCCCGAAATGAAGTGCGGGGTCAAAGCAGCAGAGAGAGGCGGGCGCTGGGTCAGAAGGAGCCTTTTGCACCACTCAGAGGCAAGTAGAAGAAGGTGCTAAAACAGCTGCATCATTTACCTTCGGAAGCCCCCGGTTATGGTGACCAAGGCATCTGGAAGAAAGGCCGTAACCGCCTCTTTAACTAGCACGCTGATGGCCTCTGCTTCTGCCCTGCTCACACAGCTAACGAGGTCTTCATAGTAGAGGAATCCTGAGAGGCCATTGCACAGGCCAGTGGAGAGGAAACACACATAAGATGATGTTAGTGAGAGAGGATGCTGTCTAGGCGTTGACCAGACTCCGCACAGAGCACAATAATCCATGGTGTTGCCTTGTCTATTCGCTTGTGGGCTCTTCATGGTTGCAATGGAGTGTTGAATTTTAACGGAGAAATCTACAATGTCCTTGTTAAGGGAAAAGTATTCAAATCTTTCTGGAATCTAAACTCTTCCTATCTGATGTCATAATGAAGAAGCAGCCCTGCCGCGTCCTCCTCCTCCTCCTTATCCTCCTCCTCCTCCTCCTCCCCCTCCTCCCCCTTTCCCTCCTCTATATTGAGCAAAGGTCCAGTTGTCTCCGAACTCCTCATTTTCCTGCCTCTGCCTCCCAAGTGCTGAAGTTACATGTGTGGAGCACCATGTCCAGCCTTCTTGACCAACAAGCTGTGTCCTGCTATTTAAAAGGGGAATAGGGGCCCTGGTGGTGGTGACACACGCTGTTAATCCCAGCAATCAGGAGGCAGAGGCAGGAGGATCTCTATGAGTTCCAGGCCAGCTTGGTTTACATAGTGAGTTCCAAGACAGCCAGAGCTGCACAGAGAAACCCTGTCTCAACGCATCCCGCCCCCACCCCAAGTGCGGGGTAAGAAAAATCCAGGACTTGGAAGTGATGGTTTCATTTGAAAAATGAAAGAGGAAGAGGGTGGGTCTGTGTCCAAAGCAAATCAAAGTGCCTTGAGGAGATGGCATGCTGCCTCTGGGCCTGGGACTATGGACCAATGACTGTTCAGAAGCAACATCATGGCGGAGGTGGGGGGGCATCTAGCTATTCCCACAGTGATTCCAAGGGAGGCAGAGAGGAAAACGTGCTTAACTCCAAGGATTGGGGTGGGCTCTGGAGGGAAGCTGGGTGCGTCCCCCCAGCACAGTCAGTGTGCTGACAGTTACTCAGGCTTCTGTACAAGACACGGCACTTTCATTAAGGGGACCACCCAAACACCACTTGACAAACGGGAGACATACTCCTCTAGGGGCTGCCAATTGGCAGAAGGAGACACAGAAAACCTGTTGTTCCTTGTTTCTCACCCTGGGATTGCAGGTGGCCAGGAGGCCATTTGGCTTGAACACGCTGTAAACAAAATTCCCAGGTTCAAAGCTCTCTGTGATCTCTAAATGGGACGTGTTGACAGGACCAGGAAAAGATGTTGACGCTAATACCGCCATCACCTGTCCCTACCAAGTCAGATGCTTAAGGAACTACTGTCTTCATATGAATGTTGATGTTTTCCTAACGCTGTTGTTAACAGTCACCTTTTTATTGGGACGTAGCTTTTGTGTATGTGAGTGTGAGGAGTCTGATCTACAGAGCAACAGCTCCATTAGGCTTTAATAGAGAAACTGTCTTCACCACTGGCACTCAGGTATGACTCAGTCCCTGGAATTCCCTGTGCTCACCCAATCAATGATGTACATCAACATGAAGTTATGATTTTCTTTTTTTAAGAATGTGTCGCTGCCGGCTAGCACCTCATACCGGTATTCCCAGGACTCAAGACGCTGAAGCAGGATGGTCATAAGTTCAAAGACTGCCTGAGTGAAATATTGTGTTGCTTCCCACTTCCTCTCTGAGTGTGGGCAGTTCTCACTATCATCCCACTCCATCTCCTCGCCACTGACGTTTAATGGTTACATACACTTCTTTTCAAAGGTATCTCTAAAGCTGGTGTAAAACATGCCTACTGGATGTATACTTTCTGGGGTCCAGAGTAGAAATACGAGATCTTTTTTTTCTTAGACTCTTTTTTTTTTCCCTGTATGGCATTGTATAAAGCTTATTACCAATCACTCAGAAATCAGCAAGTCTGAGAGATAGCACAGAGGTTAAAAGCAATTGCTGCTCTCTCAGAGGACCCTGGTTCGATTCCCAGCACCCACATGGTGGCTCACAACCACCTGTATGTCACTTCAGTTCCAGGGGATCTGAGGCCCTCTTCTGGCTTCTATGGGCACTGCACACATGTGGTGCCCAGACGTGCATACAGACAAAACATTCATATACATAAATTAAAAATAAATACAAATCTTTTAAAACAGAAATTAACAGGTTTATTTTCACTGGGGATATTCCCCAATATATGATTCACCTCCTCTACTGTTTCTTGTGATTTCATTGCCTTTTGTCTATCTGTCTGTCTGTCTGTCTGTCTGTCTGTCTGTCGTTATCACTTAAACAGAAGGTAGCTGTTGACTACTCCCACATACCCAGTATCCTCTGCCAGAAGACTCCATTACTTCCTTCCATATTTAAAAACTTGATAACTTTACTATTCTACATAACTCCAGAAGCCACAGTGTTTGGAATTATGGAATTGCATCTCCTCAATTCTGGAAAACATACCAGCACAGTCCACAGAAGGAGGTGACCTGGCCCCCATGGGGAGCTGGGGGGCTTGCCGGACATTCAGATGATGGCCACAGCACTTCCATCTCCACAATGCACTGCTGTCTCTTCCTGGGCGCTAGGCCTCTGGTTGGACAGATCAAGGCTATGTCTAGATTGCTGCCCTTCTCTGTTTTCCAGTCCCTAGGCCATTCACAGTGTGAACCAACCCAGTGTGAGTGTGGTTTGTTCAGACATCCTTTCTCCCCTTCCTCCTCATCAGCTTATCACTCTGTCTTTGACGCTTCATGTCATGATTCTTACCCAGGCAGGCAGCCAGACCCAAGTGTCTAGAGGAGGCTGTAGGAAGCAGGACAGTGCCCATCCTGGTTTGACATCTGGATAAAGCAGCCCAGTAAGAGGCCTTGTTCTAGGCCAGGTCCAGGGCTTTGTGTGAGCCGATGTGCTCCCCAGTTACCTCAGGTTCATCAGTGAGGTAACAAAGGCTCGAGATTTTAACCGGATCACTCTGTGCTGGAGCCAAGATATACCTGATTCCCCAAGACTGGAGTGCAAGTGAAGGTGGCCTCCCTGTCACTCCACCCTGACAAACCCAGCGCAGCCCGTGATCTGCCCCGTTACCTGCTTTCTGCATCCGCGTAAACCTCAGGCTCTTGTCTGACTTGATTTTACTGAGAGTTCTGAAACCCATCCTGAACCATTTCTCAGCTGTCTTCAGCCCCACTCCAAACACAGAAGTAAAGAGCTGGAAAGGAGGGAAAGGCAGGCTGGTAGTTCCCCCAAATCATCACTATGACAATGGAGTGACACTTTCCAAAGTCTCAGGCTACAGACAAGAAATACAAGCAAAACTTTGGCCCAGTTACTCTTGAAAACAGTGAGAAGATGAGTTGTGTGTGTGTGTGTGTGTGTGTGTGTGTGTGTGTGTGTGTGTGTGCCTCCAGGTTGCTCAGTCTCTTACACACGATCATTCACCACACCTTTGACAGAAGGATGCTCTTGGAGACTCAGCATATTCACCCCATCTACAAATGGGTAATGGCAAAGTATGGGCTTAAAATGTAGTCCAGGCCTGGGCTCCTGCTTTGGCCACACACTAGGCCTTGTATCACTTATGAACTAAAGGAACTGCTGGCCACAGTACCAGAGACTCTAAGGTAAGAGAAATTGGGAGGTGATCAACCCTGGGTCCCAGAAACAAAGATGCAGTGAGGCCGTGAGTTTGTGCGTCCAGGCCAGCTTTGCTCTCCTCATGTACTTCTGTCCCTTTGACATTTGTAACCACAAATGACGGATTCTTGGAAGGTAATTTCTTCATATGGAAGTAAACTGGAACACCGTGTTTGTCCATGCATATGCTTCTTAGGACTCTGCTATGGACTGAGTTGTACATCCCATGTTGAAGTCCTAATCCTCAGTGTGATGGTCTTCACATGTGGGGTCTTTGGGAGGTGTACTAATAAGTTTTATCAACTCTACACAACCTAGAACCACCTGGGAAGAGGGTTTTAATGAGGAATTATCTGTACTACATTGGCTTGTGGGTGTGTCTGTGGGGGATGGCTTGGCTGTTGATTGGTGTGAGAATCCTCTGTGGGAGGTGCCATTCCCTAAGCAGACTCATGCTTAATATAACAGTGTAAGAGTGAAGAAAGACAGCTGAGAGCAAGCAAACTAGGACCCATGCCTTTGTCACCTCTACCTCTGCCATGTGAAGGCAGCAGTAAGAAGGTGGCAGGACATTGCAACTCACAAAGAGAGCCCTCCACAGAATCTTGATCTAGCGCCTTGACCTAAACTTTCTGCTTCCAGAACAGGCAGACAATAAATTTTTGTTTAAGCAGCTCAGTGTGTGGCATGTTGGTATGGCAGCCTGAGTTAATAGAACCATCCACAGCAAGTAAACAGGAAGCCACTCCCCAGTAAACAAATGTAAAATCACTACTGCTGTGGGATGTTCTGTATGGCAAATGTGTTGCTCTGATTGGTCAATAAATAAAACACTGATTGGCCAGTGGCTAGGCAGGAAGTATAGGCGGGACTAACAGAGAGGAGAAAAGAAAGAACAAGAAGGCAGAAGGAGTCACTGCTAGCCGCCGCCAGGACAAGCAGCATGTGAAGATGCCGGCAAGCCATGAGCCACGTGGCAAGGTATAGATTTATGAAAATGGATTAATTTAAGCTGTAAGAACAGTTAGCAAGAAGCCTGCTACAGCCATACAGTTTGTAAGCAAAATAAGTCTCTGTGTTTACCTGGTTGGGTCTGAGCGGCTGTGGGACTGGCAGGTGACAAAGATTTGTCCTGACTGTGGGCAAGGCAGGAAAACTTTAGCTATACACTACTTACTTTGAAGGATTTGTATCGTTCATCATTTAACACGGCTTTAACTTCAGAACTTTCTCCATCCTCAATAATTCCCTGCAAGGAGAGTTGAACAAAAGATTTTGAGTTATGTCCTTACATAATTTTGTATCAGTCTCAAATCTACAGCCCCAGCTGCTGATTTCTCATGAAATTTGGAGAATTTCCCTGGCTGGCCTGTAGAAAGCAAGAATTTCCATGTAATCCTGAAAATTCTTAGTTGATCATAGATCCAAATACCCTTTATAATCTTGGACAAGGGTACAGAAGGATGAGGGTCTGAATCCACAGAAGATAAGTTAAAATATTCACTGACAAGTATCGTCCAAATGGTTCTGATAATTTTCTTTTCAGTGGGTTCAACTTGTGGAGATAAAAGGACTTTTCAATCCATCAGGTTAATTGCTGGTCCACTGAAAAGCCCGTCATTATCAAGCTCTTATGAGATCTGGCCTAGTGCCTCTGTTGTCTGAGCTGGGATATTTTTTTCTATAATAATGTACTTTGCATTTGATTAGATTGAAACTTGCTACTGGGTGGCAAACTTGCCTTCTGGGAAATCCTTAAATGTTGTTAAACATGCCTCTATTGCCCAATTTCTTCCCAGAACACTATTGATGCAGAATCAGCCCACTGAACACCACCCTGTGCTGGACAGGAAGAGCCCTGAGTGAGCCTGAGCCCCTCACCTAGCCTGGCTTAGGAGCCAGAGCACTCTGCTGCTCTGAACTCTTAGGCTTGAATCTTTTCCCTGCTATCTGGGTCCACATAGTCCTACTGGGATCACACTGGGTTATGTGTTCTACACATCTATACCTATCCCTTTCTGTGCGATTTGATCTATCTATAGTTAAATAAGAGGAGAGAGTCCATACCTATGTGATCTCCTCTGTCTCTCTCTCACCTATTTGGAGGTGTAGCAAATTCCACTTCTCCCTTACCTCTATAATACACTTCACTTTGTCCCCTAGGCAGGGGATTCCCTCTGTGTCTTTCATGGTGATAATGGGGAATGGCAGAGATTTCAGTACAGCGGCTGCCCTCATGAATGCCACATAACAGCCTTCATTCTCTCTAAACTCATAATTTTCAGCCAGGATATCAAAGGCATCCTAAAAAATAAAACCAGATTAGCTGCTCCGCTCTTCAGAGTCACTCACAAGTCCCTCCTTCCCTTTTACTAAGGGAGTGCCTTTGAAGCAAGGATCAACCTCCTGCAACTTTGCATCCTCCCCTGTGGGACACTATCATT